CTCCTCAGGGTGCCGTCGGCCAAGCAATGTCGGCTGGCGACCCCCAGGGGGAGGGCCTTCTCTGTGGGTGCCCCCACCCTCTGGAACGAACTACCCCCCGAGATCCGGACGATTCCGGATCTCCTAACCTTCCGCCGCGCCCTCAAGACATGGCTTTTTCAACAAGCGGGACTGACCTAGGGTGAATTTTAAATAGGGAAAATTTTTAATGATTTTAAATAGTCACAGCCACTAATATTTGGGTTTTAATTGGTTTTTAGAAGGGGTAATTTTGTATACTGTTTTAACATGCTGTGAGCCGCCCTGAGTCCCATGGGGAGAAGGGCGGCATATAAATTCTGTAAAATAAATAAATAAAATAAAATAAAATGGGGAAGCCAGATTCACTTAACAGCTACAGTGCTTCACTTAACAGCTATGACAAGAAAGATCATAAAATGGGGCAAAACTCACTTGACTATTTCACTTAGCAACAGAAATGTTGGGCTCAATTTTGGTCATAAGTCAAGGACTACCTGTACACTAGAAATGCTTGGTACAAGATTGAATTATTTGACTATCAAGACTCATCTGTAGCACAGCAGTAGATTTAATCATCTGTTCCCTTGAATTGTTTTAGTTGAAGTTGTCAGGGATTAAGGCTCATATTTCCTGCCATCAAGACATGAACTTTGCCTCTGAACTATAGATTTTCTTCTTGACTGTGCCCCTGATCTAATCCACCCTCTTGCTTACTGCTAAAATGCTAGATTGTATTAACCTTTGGCCTAAGCTACAAAATCAATTATTTTGTTATTTTCCTGTTTTATCTTGAGCAGGCTCAAGAGAGAGACTGATTTTTGAATTCTACGGTGGGATTGAAGGAACCTTAGAATGGGGAAGAGAGAACTGCTGGCGACTAGTTTTTTTTAATTTTATGCTCAAGACTTCTGAAAAAAGGGGAGACAAAGACTGTAGGACAGCTTTGCAAGGGGACTCTAAGGCTATAACAATAGCCCACCAGTTCCAACTATTTATTACTCACCTTCTTTTATTCTGTCTACATTTGCTATTGTTAATGTAAAGTACATGGGTTTAATTTTGAGCTAACTTTGTAATGATAATATTGCTTAAACTGCTTAAGTATAGGATCTTTATATTTGCTTTTTTAAGGCCTATACCTAACAATCTCTCTCTCTCTCTCTCTCTCTCTGTATGTGTGTGGATGCGTGCTTGAATACACTGAGGGCAAAGTAGCCAGCAGTATGTTATACTACTTCTGATCTTGATTTGCAAGTTTTATTGTTAGTTCAGAATGAAGAGTGGGCCAAGGTCTTGCTAATGCTGCTAACAAGATATGTTTGTTAGGATAAAATGAGCAATGTTGAAAAGTGTCTCTCTAGGACAGTGGTGGCGAACCTATGGCACGTGTGCCAGAGGCGGCATTCGGACCCCTCTCTGTGAGCACGCGCGCCATGCCCCGGAGATGACAACCGTCCTCTTCAACCAGCCGCCCGCTAACTCGCCGAGGTCCCACGTGGCCGGATGAATCCCAGCACCCATGCGCTCACTGGCCTCTGTGTGTGGGGGCCGATGGTGTCAGGCAGCCGCCGCCCCGGCCCCTGCCTCGCCTTGCCCTGCGACAATGGCACCCTCGCCCTGCCTCGCCTTGCCTGATTGAGCACTTGAAACTTGTCTCCTGCCCACCACCCCACCCACCAGAGACCCCCTGGATCTCTCCCAACCCTGCCCAGCCCCCACAGGATCCCTCCCCAGGAGCAACATCAAGCTGGCCATGCCCACCCTGGCCATGACCACCGTAGCCACACCCAACCAGTGGACCACACCCACTCAGCAGACCATGCCCACCTGGCACCCGGTGATATATAAGTGGATTTGGGGTTGCAGTTTGGGCACTCAGTCTCTAAAAGGTTCGCCATCACTGCTCTAGGACATAAATGTTCTGATTTAAGAGGTTTAAGGTGGTAGCTTATGTGATTTGTGTCCTACATTTTTACAGCTTGTCATCCCATCCCATTTCACCTTGCAGATACTTCTACAGAAATTCCAACAAGGGCACTAAAGTCTTTTTTTAAAAAAAAAACTAAAGAAACCAAAGAATAAAGCTCCTTGTTCTTTCTTTCCTTGTAGGTCTCCTGTTTCTTCAGAAGATCAAGGTAAGATTCCATTTTGTGAATTCCTCCACTAATCTTAAAATTGATTTTGATGAGAAGAGGGCAGTAAAGTTGTACCTGAAAACAAATTTGCAGTAGAGAAATGAGTAAAATTTGATATAGACATGGAGATAGCTCCTCTGTCATTTCATTAAATATATACCATATCTTCTATCCAATTTTGCAGAAAAGCCATGAGTGGGCTTCAGTTCTATCACAAATCTAGTTCAATAAACTTGCTTTTTGCTTCAGTAACAACGTTTGGAATATAACTTTAGTTATTCATGACTATTAAGCCCCATGGTCTATAGAGAAAAAGGAGATGATACTAATGATTGTGAGCACTTATACAGCGTTTTACAAGGTTTATTCCCATTCTCAGTCATCTCTATGATGCTTCACAAGTTAGTGGCTGTATGAAAAGGATGGTTAGAAGATCAGAACATTGGGACCTGCCTAAAGCTATCTTACCAGTTCCTGGAATTACAAGATACAAGGCTTTGAAATGTGATTTTACAATGTTAAGAGGGTGCACACTGTTCTCTTCCATCTTTTCACTACTGAGTGATACATTTATTTTATTAGATCCTTGCCAAAACCTTGCCTTCCATGCTTCAGAGGAAACATTACATTGTCTCAGATACACAGCTTGTCCATGGACATTGATTTATTGGTTGATATTACAGGATTTCCTTACCTTATGTTATTGCTCCCTCATTTGATCTATTAATTGAGTGTCAGATGACAGATAAAGTACTTCCTAGTGCAGCTTCTTGATTTTAATCCTCAATAACTGTCCCTACGATCTATTTTTCTTTTCTACTTTCACTATTTTCTTCCTTTGCACAAACTGCTCTCATGTTCCATTTAACCACCTGTGCCACTATGACAAGGGACCTGCACTACAGCTTGATCAATATCCTTAACCAGTCCAGAACTATAAAAGCAATTTATGAGCTTACTTTGAAAGGAAGAATCAAAGCCATAGCCACGTATCATACCAAGGACATTAAAAGCTTCTGCTTAATGACGGTGAAATAACTGGTCGAGGAAACTCACTACAGTAGCATAGAAGAGTGCACTTAAATGGCAAGAGCAAGAATTAGATCTCTCTTTCTGATGTCAGAATATTTTTAGTACTGATGCTTTAAAAACGGCAGTTTTCATGAGAATAATTCATACCAGCATAGCCGTGCCTCAAGGTGTTATGTAAGCTACTTGTTGGCCTCCACTAAGGGATACTTTATCTGACCACTGTACCAGACTGATTCCTCCCCTGTTATTTTAAGGGTCCCACTCCAGCAAATCTTCAGAAATATTCTGCTGTATTAATATTCCTCTGCTATTTGTCTGGTATTTTGGCAACTGCTTAAAACAAAGTGATTTTTTCCAAGCACGAATCTCACAGATAATTTTGCTTTAGCAAGATTTACAGAGACAAAAGCATAAGGGTTACAAATCTACCAGCAACTGAATTTTTAGAACCAATATATCCCCATGTACAATTTCTTTCTAGATAGCCTTCTAGGGATCTAGCAAGGATCTAGGTCTTTTCATTGATAATGGAGAAGCTTGTGGTTGGCTGTTTATATCTCCCTCCTGAATCTTCAGGTCTTCCCAGTCCTAACTATGCATGTGGCTGAGTTTTGGAGATGATTCACCTTACTTCCTGTTCATATTTTCATATTCATATCTTCCTGCACTTAGAAATTACACTGTGTACTATGAACAAATCAGATGGCAGATATTATAACTCCATGCCTCGAACTGTTCCACTTAAAGCTGAATTAGACTACATGTGTTTAAGCAGTTTGAAGGAGTAATTTAATGAAATTTGGTTTTTATTGAATAACATTTTTTGTTTGATGTAGTACATGATTTATTGAATATGCTGGACTGAAGTTGGCTTCTAATTATTGTCATTTTAAAAAGTTTTGTATCAGTTGCATCTTTTATAATCTGCTCTTTTAGATATGTACCGGTATTTATTTTACTTTCTATTTTGGAAGACTTCTTGAAAGTATTTGAGTAAAAAAGATTAACAACCCTTTTTTTTACATTTTATATAGGTATTTCACTAACCATTTGTCTTGATTCAAGGTGAAACTACAAGTTATGTTGAAGAGGAAGGATAGATCTAAGCAGCTGGGTTTTTTTTTGTTTTATTTTACTTGAATCCGAAGTTAAAGCACTTGATATGAGAAGCTTTTATGATGTCTTCTCCTCAACCTTACTAGTAAAAAGGTTGCTGCCCCTTGAATAAAATAATGACTGTAGGTCATCACAACAGTACTAATAATTGTTTTCTTAACATTTTTAAAACTCTACCTGAAGCCTCTATAATGGACTGAACCAGTATTTCTTCCCCCTTTCCCCCTTTTAAAAATTATGGAGGTGCCTAAAGGAATTTTTATTTCTTTTGCTTACCTATATTTAGCACTTTAAAAATTAAAAATTGATAATTCTTTGCTACTACAATTGTTTGATGATATTTTAATATTGTTTTTTTTTAACCTAAACTGGCAATAATTTGAATTTTGTGGATCATTGGGAGAGTCTTAGTCCAAGGGTCCTAAGACCACACTTTTAGAAACAAGACTAGACTGTTATGAGCTGGACAATGTTATTTATAACACTTTTACTTAGTCCTTTTTATGAGTAGTTTAGGATAGCATTTTTAAATTTTTGTATATCTTTTGTCATCTGCTCTTTTAGATAAGTATTTATTTTATTTGTCACTTTCTGTTTTGGAAGACTCTTGAGAGTATTTGAATAAAAAAGATTGTGAGAGAAGTTGGAGGTTGGTAGTTGGTCTCTAATCTCATATGGTTTATTTTCACTAAAGATGCTAAGGAATTAAACACAAGTCATGGGATTTAACATTAAGCTATTACTAAGCTATTGTCTCTTTATAGTTTTTACCTGACCATGTTAATCCCTTGGCCTCTTTTAAAGTAATTTGCTCAAGAAGCACTATCTCTGCATGTTTTTTATTATAACATTTTATGAACATTTGTAAAAACATTAGTTGAATTGGTTCCTGCGATTAGCAAGATAAACAGTTTCAACCATTTACTGTTTTAATATTGCAGCTTATATTCTTTAAAGTTCCCCTTTTCTGTAGTCTATAGCTGGCAAATGTTACTTTGTTATATCAAGCCATGGCAGTAACTTGCTTAGCCTTGTATAATCTGCAATGCAGGTCTTTCTTTTTGCAGTTAATTCAAGTCAACACTTAATCCTTCCTAAGTGTGCCAGTGACAAAAGGTGGAGGATAAAATTCCTGCATTGATTGCAATTCTATGGGGTCTTTGCTGACAAAAAAATCAAGAGGGGGGGGGAAACACTCTACATGACTTGAAACTGCATGTGGTATTCTGAGCAGTGACTGAGGAGTTACTTAGCCTGAGCTAGCAGGAAAACTTCAAACTTCTGACTCCCAGCCGCCAGCAGTTTGCCAGTTCGAGTCTCACCAGCTTAAGGTTGACTCGGCCTTCCATCCTTCTGAGGTCAATAAAATTAGGACCCAGATTGTTGGGGGCAATATGCTGACTCTGTAAATTGCTTAGAGAGGGCTGCAAAGCCCTGTGAAGTGGTATATAAGTCTAAGGGCTATTGCTAATAGGGAAGACTACAATATATTGCTTCAGGCTCTGTAGTTTGGGGAGGAATGGGTCAGGGTCACAAACACCACTATAAATACTCTAAAAAAATGGTTGATCTCCCTGAAATATGAGCCTCAGTTACTTTTTCATTTTATGTCTCCATGCTTTGGTTGATAATTCTAAGAGTATGTTAATATATGGCATGCATAGAACCTACTTTGGGTGAATGTGTGTAAAGGAAAAAAGGGGGAGTGGGCAGAGATATCAAAACCAACCAAATTTCTTTTTTTAAAATAGTAATTTTATTAAAAATTACATTTTGAAATAATAAAAACTAATGCAAACTAAAGAAAATGAAAAGAAAAGAAGCCAAACCAAGAAATAAATAGAAAAAATGTAAAAGAAAGAAAAAATAAAAATATAGTAAAGAAAAAGAAATATATAAAAAATTGACTTCACATGTCGCCACAAGTATAATCTGCTTTAATAACTACGATTGCTTCTTCCCATATCTCATTTCTTATTTATAAACAGATAACAACATATCTATTTAAATCTTGATCAAATAAGGCAACTTTATATCCCCTCCTTTTATGTCTAACAATCTTCATCTTTATTTCTTTCAAATAATGCCTTACAATTTGATTTTTTTTTCATTTTTTGTTTGCCTCTTCTCACAAAATTCTTCAAAGCTTTAACAAGCCTCTTTTGTAAATCCATTATAGGAAAATTTTCCAGGTGATTCTCTTGGTTTGCTATTTATATATCCATTTTAATTATTAAGACATTGGTTGGTTTCTTTTGTATGTCCAGGGTAACATCTTTTTTATGTCATTCTTACAGCCTGTCATTTTTAAATGCATTTCAAATAAGTCATTTCAGGTAATATTGTTCTTTTTCCATGGCATTTTTTAAACATATTCTATCTATAGAGGCAGACTGTCTTAAAATTGGTCTTAAGTTCTTGGTCCATTGTTCAAAATATCCTTTAATATGTCCAAGGTTAAAGTATTTTACTTCATTCTGTATTGGTAAGTCATGTTTGAGTGTTCTTCTCTTTTAATTTCTCTTTTAACTTTGTAATCTTTAGTTCCTTCTAGTTCCCTTTGGTTTTTGAAGTCTATGCTTTTTTTAAGAATTAAAAAAAATCCTCACAGGAAGGATTCTTTATAATTGCCAGGTCAAGCCCAAAAAATGATGTAAGCAAAGAATGTGCTAGAAGGAAATTTAATATTTCACTCTGGTAAATCCACAGTGGAATGAATGCTAACCAGAACATCTAGCCAATATTTATCCATCCATCCATCCACCCACCCACCCACCCATCCACCCATAGAAGGAGCAGACAGTGATTGTGTTTAATTTCATACATTTTAGAAAGTAATTCAGAAACAGCAG